GCGTCGAGCCAAGCGCCCAGGGAGGGGGCGCGCGCCGTAGGTCCCCCCTGCCGTCCCCGCCGCGGGACGGGCTCAGCCCTGCCTGCTGTGTGTCCCCAGTGCAGCCATCAGGGCTCCGACAACTGCACCTACAGGAACTTCACCAGCGCGGCGCAGGCGGTGACCGAGTGGTACATCCTGCAGTCCACGAGCATCCTCTCCAAAGTCCCGCTGCAAGAGAGAATCAGGATGGGCTACCAGGCAGAAGACATGATCCTGGCGTGTCTCTATGGGGCCGAACCCTGCAACTACAAGTAGGTGCACACCCAGCTCCCTGCCCTTTTCTGTCACATCAGGAACGGTACAGGCTGCTAAAGGCATGACAGCCTTTTTCTTTCCTCTTTTTAAGGTATATATCAATTAATAAAGAGATTTCTGCTGGTCCTTAACTCTAACAACATTTCCCAGAGGGTTTCTGGATGTGATCGTGGATGAAACAGGTTATTTTGGGATAGTGCCGGCTTCAGTTTTAGTTTTGGATGGGCTGTTTTGCTCATGACATATCGAGACTAACAGCATCCATGGGACCTTCCAGGGTATTTAATGATAACCAGCTGCCAGCCCAGGTGCTGAGTCAGCATACCCCTGGCACAGCAGTGCAGCCCCCAGTTACAGCCCCCCCTCTTTTTACTCAAGGCTCTGAGAAATGCATTTTAGCTGTCGTTGTTCCTTGTGAACATCAAATATATATATCCAGTTTTGAGAAACGTGAGCGCACAGCAGCAGCCCAGGCTGCAAGGAGTCCTGCCCCTTCTGCAAGGTCCCTTCTGCAAAGAGGGCAACAGAGAATTATTATCAAAGAACGAGATGTAACACCAGCCAAAACCTGTTACCATAGCTCAGATCAAGCAATTATTTCTCTCGTCTGTGTGAGAGACGATTCCTTTCCATTCCAACAAAGCATTATCCCCAGTGGCTGTGTCTCAGTACACACTAGTACCTTGCTTTGCTTTTTTTTCAACAGCTGATTGATTGAAATTGTATCAGCTGAAATTTCTATACAGGCATTCAACAAACGAAGCAATTTAAAGTGAATCCCAGACATAGCTGCTAAGCACCGGCCCACCAGATGCATTATTTTATAACCCTTTAGTCCTCCCTGAGAGTCACAGTTTTATGTGCATGATTCTTCCAGGAATTTCACCCAAATCTATCACCCAGACCATGGTAACTGCTACATCTTTAACTGGGGCATGGACGAAGAGGCTTTGAATTCTTCTAATCCTGGAGCTGAGTTTGGTAAGAGAGAGCTCTGCTAAGAAAGAAGGAGCTAAAGGAGCAGAAGTGCTGGGAGTTATTCTGTCTCTCAGTGGCCATTTCTGTCAGATATAACAGATTTACATTTCTGTGTCTCTGGAGCACTACAGCAGGGATTAACAGTTTTCCAGGAGGGGATGAGCCCTGAAAAGGGAAACGTGCCACATAGAAACAAGTAATGTGACTACAGATGTTACTTCACAGAAGTGTAACATCTGGATAGCCAAAATATCTGAGGCAATGTCTGAATATTCACTCAGATATTTCCATCCTGTGCATTCGCCATCATGCGTATTTATGCACGTGCAAGGCTGACATGACAGTCAGACCCCGGCTCTTCCCCCAGGGACGGAGATTTTTGTGCACAGTGAAAAGAAGAGAGGCTCCTTTTTTTTCCAAAGACTCACATTTCGATACAATTCCTGTTCTGAGTGTTTTGTCCGGTGTCCCAGGGCTGAAGTTAATTCTGGACATCAGCCAGCAAGACTATATCCCTTACCTGTCATCCGCTGCCGGGGCCAGGCTCATGCTGCATCAACAGAAGAGCTTCCCCTTCCTTAAGGATCAGGGCATCTATGCAATGGCCGGGACAGAAACCTCCATCGGCGTGTTAGTGGTATGTGTGGCATTCCTCTAGAGCAGATTGTCTGAGAATAATGTTATCTGATGGGACTGCAACCAAGTTTGTTTTAAGTCTTGGCTGAACTGGCTCAAACCAAAAGAGTCAAGGTATACGCTAGCTGTGGGCTGGAACGGTTTATGGAGACTTTTATGTAACTGTCCTGGCAAAGTGCTTTATTGAAGCCAAAATATTGAGCTCAGGTCATTTTTCCTTCTTCCTTTAGCATGTCAGAAGGTGCCTTGCTAAAACGTTCTGCTCTTGAACACCCTCATCTGCCTCGATCCGCCCTGGGGAATGGGCTGCATCTCCTTCAGCTCTGCCGCCTGTTCTTTGACTTTTTCAAAGCCAGCAGGGAATACAAGTCTCTAGAAAACGGGCACCAGGGACCTGGGGAGGAGCGATGACTACTGAAGTTTGCTGTTTCGGTTTTCTTTCAGGATGAACTGGAACGGATGGGCTATCCCTACAGTGACTGCACCATGAACGGGTCTGATGTCCCTGTAAAAAATCTCTATAGCCAATATAATACTTCCTATTCCATACAGGTAAAACATGTTTCTAAATCAAACGAGGCTGTTTAGGAAAAATCGTCAAAGCAGTTAAAATCTTTGACCAGCATGCAGGGTTACTGGAGCATCAGCAATGACAAAGTAGAAAGCATAACCCAAGTACAGGCACCTTCTTTTCTGGTAATAAACCAGCACTCGAGTCTGAGCACTCAGTAGCTCCAGGTTTGGAAATGATCCCAGTGGATCCAGTGGAAATACCTGTGTATTGCAGGAGCAAGACCTAACAATGCAGGTATTAAAACTTGCATCAAAAGATAAGGAACATTGCTCTGGCAGGCAACACAGTTTAGCGTAATCCTCAGTTTTCCTTCTCACACCAACACAGCTCGTACGGCCAGCAAAGGGCATCAGCCTTTATTGTTCCCTTAGCCAGGTATGAAGTTTGTTTCATCTTGAGAAGGATGAAAAAGGTCATCTCTGTCATTTTCTCAAAAGCCAAAGCACAGCAAACCCCCGGGATCTCTGCTGTTACAGGGCACCCTGCCGTGTGTGACCTACCAGCAAGGTCCTAATTTGCAGACGAAAAAGCAGATATTTTTACCTCCACATACGAGCGCAGTTTAATGCAGGTCTTTTCCTCGTAACCTGTTGCCTCGGAGCTCAGCTCCCCGAAGCGGGGGGTTCCCACTCGTCCTGAAAAGCAGGCAAAGCGGGAGCAGGGTGCGCCTGGGCCCCTGGATCCCTTAAAAGCCGCTGGTTCCTCGGTTTTCCCCCGTTTTGGCTCCCCGAGCAGCCCCGGCTGCTGTCAGGCACCGGTCGGTTACTGCCTCGGCCCGGAGGGCAGAACTGCAGCGCCGGCCAAGGAGACCTCGCTGCCTCACTCCCTCCCTGCACTGGTTTCACTGGGAGGTGCTGGGGACCCTCAGCCCCGGGTGACAGAGCCAGGAGGCAGCCCCCTCCTACAGTGCAGGGGACGGCGTCTGAATCGGGCTGAAACTCCCAATAGCTTTGGGTAGTGCCAGGTCCTTCATAAGGGAGGAAACACGGGGAAACACATCTTCCAGAGTGCCCAGCTGGGAGCGCGGAGCTCCCCGTCCTCCCCGCCGGGGCGGCTGCAGCGCGGCGGCAGCCCGACGCTCCGCTGCTGCTGCCCAGCTCAGCCACAGGAGCCTGCAGAGCAGTCCTTCTCCTTTAGAAAGAATAGCTGCTCAGGCCATGTCATTAAGGCAATTAATTTCTTTTTCAGCTGTGAGAATACTTTTTTCCCCCTACAATTTCCATGCTTGGCTGAAATCTTAATTGTCAGTAGATCAACCAGCAAGGGGTGGACTCCAGGCGTTACCCGTGTCCCCCAGGCTAACTTCTCTAAACTCGAGGGGTTACGAGCAGTCGCCGTGGCTGCGCGTGCCGCTGTCACCGGGACGGCAAAGCTGCTCCGGCCGCAGCAACCGCAGGCGCCGTCCTGCAGCGAGGACGGTGACTGCAGCTCCGGGAGCTTTTGCTGGGACGTTAACGTGACACTTTTCATGAGATCGGCTGGCTCCTGCTGCTCGGGGCGCTCTGGGAGGATAAAAGCTGTCTGGAGGACTATTGGGCTCCGGGTTTTAGCCATGGCATTGCTCTAATGTGCAAAGCAGCTCGTATTTTGTGTACAGAAGTAATATTTATCCCTGACAGGAGAGGAATATACGGGAGGGATTCCTCTCCTGAACACTCCTACTCTTTTTAATCCTTTTCTCTTTAAGGGAATTAAGTCATTTTTCACCCTGAAAATGCCTGCTTGTTTTGTGTAGGAAATGAAGACAGACCTTTGCCTTTTCTTCACTTTAAAATTGGGATGAGAAAGTCGAGTGTTTGTAAACCTTGAATCTGTAGAAAAATACAGTGTAAACATTAAGCACAGGTTAATTTGTAACAGGCTATAACATAAGGGAGAAGCATTTCTAGAGGGTGAGATCTGGCAATGAGGAAAACATCAAAACCCGTTTGGGGGTTATTTACAAAAGCCTGAAGAATACACCCAGACAAGTGGGAGGGCTTTGCTCTAGCAGAGTTTTTTTATATTTCTGCCTTTATATAATTATAACAATTGGACCACTTTACCCTACTTTTTAAGATGCTTGTATAACGTTTAAGCAAATACTTGAAATGATTGCATTATTACTTAAAAGTTGCTAAATGCTGACTGGGGTTCTATGTCCACATAATTCACGTCACTTCAGAGACCTCTCAGCAAAATCAGGCTTTTCCATCACTCCCTGATTGCAGCGAACTCTGTAAGCATTTTGTATCACACAGAAATTCTCTGGTTGTTCTACCTTGCTGGAGCTGTTAAATTTAATTATCTTTTCATAGACCTTGTTATTGCTTTGTGCACTGTTTCATCCAGAATCCCACTCCAATCTCGGATGATTAACTTCATGCCTCGCTGAGCTAATGGCAGCGCTGCAGCCCGGCTCGCACGCTGCTGAAGCTGCGGCTGCAATCCTTTCAAGGAGAGAAGCAGATGCACAGATATGCTAATTCAGATTTCTAAAACCTGCTCTTTATGTTGAAGTATTTTTAGAGTCCCAGCTTTAAAGTGGAAACCAGCCCTTTGTCAGTGTGTCATATAAAGCCTGGAGACAACAGCAGTGTCTATGGGTGTAACAGAACATTTTTATCCCTTTTCGGAAACTCCATATTACCTCCACGAAGCCCTAAAATAGTTAAGAAATGAGCAGTTTCTTCTGCGACTGGGAGCAGGCACCGAGTTCCCTTCTGTCCTGCAAGGCGACTTACCCACGGGCAGCTCACAACTAGGATGTGCCTTAAAGTTTCCTGGAGCGGCAGTAAAAACGCATCATAAAGAAAACCGTAGCTGCAGCGCAACTCTACGCGTGGCAGCTTATCCACCCGCCTGGTCTCGCCGTTGTAAAACCGGAGTCACTTGTGCCGGGCTTCCAGAGCCTGCCGCGGTGCCTGGCGACGCTCGGTGTGCGCTGGAGGATGGATCATGCCATTGCGCAGGGATGGGCTCTGGCAGCACCCGCTCCCTCCGCGGCTTCAGCCCTCTCGGTGTGCAGCCACAAAATCAGCTGTTCGGTGCAAAAGAGAGAAAATACCTTGGAGCCGAGTAATTCTCATAGCGTAGGCTCCAGCAGCACAGAGGTGAGCAGGGGGCTCAGCCCACATCTAAGCAGCTCCCTGTTCCTTTTTTCAGGCTTGCCTGCGCTCTTGTTTCCAAAATCACATGGTTGAAATCTGTGGATGTGGTCACTATATGTTTCCTTTACCTGAAGGGGTGAATTATTGCAATAACGAAGATAACCCAGGTTGGGGTAAGAACATGAACAAAACTAATTGCACAGCCTCCCCAGGGTCCTGGCACGCCGGAGGGGTGGGAGCGGACGCGAGCTTTATTTGTAAATGCAACAGGTGAATGGCTTTTGCCTATGTAAATTCTCCCCGTGGCCGTTCGGGTCAGTGCCGGGGAGAAGGGGCGAAATCTGGGTCCTGGCCGTGGGCTGAGTGTCCCCAGCTTCCGCGCTGCCTGGGCAGGGCTCTGCCGGACGGCTGGCTCCAGCCGGGGCAGGTCACGGGAGCCTCTGGGTACCCAAGGGAGAAAACGGGGTAACGCTCCAGGCCTCCGCGCCTGAAGAATTCGGAGACAAGCTGGCCCGAGCAGGGGCAATGGGCTCCTGCAAGGATGCGCAGGGGCTGGGGGGGTCTGGTGCTCCCCCACGGGCGGGCAGAGACCGGCAGCACGACTATTTTTAGTTTATTATTAAATTGTCTGACCGCTTTGCCTGAGCTTCTCAAGGCAAGGAAGGTTAGAGGGGAAGACAGCAAACCTGTGCAGCAGGCTCATACCTAAATATTTATTTTATTAAATGAAATTGATATAATCCAGTAAGCAGGGTCCTTATCTAAACAGATGTTTTGATTTTTTGTTTTCACCAAACAGCATATTGCTATTCATCACTGAGATCAAGTATAAGACACAGACAGATTTGTATTGACTCTTGTAAGGAAACGTGCAAGTAAGTACATAAGCCACTTCTGGCAGCTGTAAAGGTGGAGGGGACCCTGCGTTTCGTCTCCCATCAATTCTGACCTTTCTAAAATGGCAGCAAATCATGTGGGGCTGCTTTTCTGCATGAGAACTGAAGTTCCAGTGACTTCGGAGGAGGGGAAACTTCTGTACCAACGTTCTCCTTTCCTCTCCCTAGCGACACGCAGTATAAGATGACCATCTCCATGGCAGACTGGCCGTCTGAAGCTTCGGAGGTATCACCCATTTCTTGTTTTGAAACATTCATTAATAATTACCTCGTCTTAGCCACATGAATCACTCAGTATTTTCAGAGCTAATGTCCAGGTAGCAAGTGCCTCTTTGCTAAATTACACATTTTCAGGGTGCAAACAAACACTAGTGCCAGGGCATGAGGCAGGAGGAGGGACACCCCCACGGCGGCTCCTCCTGCCCAGGGGTCCTGCACCGAGTCCTGCAACTCCTTGGGGTCCTGCCCCAGCAGGCGCCCAGAGAGATGCTTCTGCTCGGTTCTGAATACATTTTGTTTTCCTAGGACTGGATTTTCCATATTCTGTCTTATGAAAGGGATATGTCTACAAATGTGACTCTGGACAGGTAAGTGAAAGGAACAACTACTTTATCTTCTCTATTGAGCCTGTTAACATTAGACGGACGTGAACCTTGGCGATGGGCCAGAGCACACGTGTGCTAATGCAGAGGGAGGACAAGATTTGGCGCACGTTTGCCTGGAAGATACATAAAGCAAATCTGAAACGCACTTAATGCATATCCTCTGCTCTCCATAGTGACAACTGGGTCCGACAAACGTGAGTTAAGTTAAAACCGACATTAACCGCAGCACTCCTGATCAGTTGCATATAGGAGTCTGGAAGCTCTGAAGCTGTGAACTGCCAGGGTCCAGCTCCTGGATCGTAACGTTCGTCCCTTTAGACTTACGTCTCTGAATCTGCCAACAGCAGCAGCAATAGGGGGGATGCACCAAAATTAGGGTAACTGCCAAGTTATCCTTTGAAAACCTAAACTCTGAATTAGTGGGAAAAGAAGAGGGTTCTTTCCCCCAAGGAAAAAAACTGGAGAATCAGGAAATGGTTTCACAGATACTGGCTGATCTGTACACATTAAGCCCCCTGCAACGCGGTCGGTCGTGACGCAGCCGCTCTGGTGCACACAGGAACACGAGGTGCAGGGCACCGAGGGGGGGCGACGGCCCCTCTAGACCAACCAGGGCAGTTGGAAACAGCAAAGCAAACAGCCCCAAAGAAGCTTCCAAGTGCTCCTTCAGGAGGAACCTCAGAACCATGTCTCTCTCCCCTTCGCAGCCAGTGGCACTTTTTAACTTTTCCACGTGCCCGGTGGAAGTTTCAGCTGCGCGCAGCCCTTCCCGCGGGCAGGCGTGGGAGCGGAGGCGCAGGACGCTGCAGCCCGGCGCTGTGTTGAGCTGCCGTTTGTCCCTTGCAGGAACGGGATCATCAAGCTGAACATTTACTTCCAGGAGTACAACTACCGCACCATCTCGGAGTCTGCCGCCACGACGGTGAGTGCCCATCCCTGCACGGTGCCCGGTGAGCGGAGGCAGAAACAAGTCGCCCCAGACGCACAGGCAGGGCTCAGCTCCTCAGGGCTGATCGCCCCTGTCCGGAGATGCTCCTCAGCGGAGTCTGCTGAGTCCCTCGGTGCTGCTGCTTCACACGTCCGTGGCAATGAGCGAAGCCGCCTCCACCGGCGGTTCGCGGCCCCCAGTTTGTTCTTCCCCTCCACCTCCCCTCCCCATCGCCAGTGCGGGGCAGGCGGCCCCGGTGGCGCAGCCCCTGCGGGGCAGCCCCCGCAAGGCGAGGGACTCGGCAGGCAGGTCAGGGGGGCAGGGGCATCACCCGGCTCGGCGCCAGCACGCAGGGTGATGGGCAGGGGCTGACCACAGACCAGGCCCGCTGCCTCGGCTCACTCCTGCTCTCCTCCCCGCAGATCGTTTGGCTGCTGTCGAGCCTGGGAGGCCAGTTCGGGTTCTGGATGGGAGGCTCGGT